GGGTTACAAACTATCATGTACAAATGGCTATAGCATTGCTTGACAGGAATAAAAAGCAGATTAATTCACTGTGTGTCACTTTGTATTCTTATTCCAGATCATTTGAAACTTTTTTTTGCAAATTGTGGTAATAAGGCAAGTTGCAAGTTTGCTTCCTAGGACAGACTTGATCCATAACTTCACTCCGGCTGGCTCTGGACATGACAAATATGATGCACTCCTGCAAATGGATGGAACAGCACCTATAGCCCCGTCAAAATAGCATTAGATAACCACTGGTTGTCAGCTGCCGTGGCACTTTCGCCATCACTCCTCCTTACAGATGGTGGGGCCTGTGCTCACTAAATCACCGCACAGTTCCAAGAGGTAATTATAGTGCCACTGTAAATCTTCCTGGTAGCTTGGCAAGTGAGATCATCTCCTCGGATTGGTATGTACACAGAAGCATGCATGTGTGTTATATCATGCATGTTAACATACTGGCTGGGCACAGGAGAAGGCTCAGGTGCCTGTGGTCCGCCTCATGGGGCACAGCTCTGATTCTGTTATGCACAATCTCATCCAGTTTGAGGCAGACAAAGTTCAATGTTGGATGAAAATTATAGGGATCCTCCAGTCACGTGACCCTGATATAGACAGAATATGTCAATCAGCAACTCAGCGGCAAAGCAAATGACCCTGCAACTGAGCTGTTCTTTTCTGAAAACTGTTTCTAGCTAATATTGGTAGATTTATTTCACTGCAACAAATAAAACATGTTATAGACAGTAATCAACCCAAAAAATTGTATCATTTTATGTTGTAACTGACTTGTAGGTGTACGTTTTTCTCTGTGTTTTAAACTCATTGCCTGCCAGCCTATTTCAGAACAGGTGCTCCCATATAGCCAGCTGTTTCTGATGATTTGTATTGATTTTTCAATACCCACAGAATATTGTGTACTATGACTATCAGAAAAATAATTTTGTTTCTAGCTTGTTTCGTTCCCCTGTAATCCCCTGTCGAGTAGAGGGAAGTTTTACCAGTCTCAGACAAAAAGCTGAGAAAAAGAGGTGCAAACAAGTGCATCCTCTTTTCAAAACATACTGAGACCAGCGCTGCGCTGGTGCCACCTGCTGGCTCGATAAAATATGATCTAAAGCTAATCCCCATATATATTAGATATAATAGACATCTGGTAACATGAAAATAGCGATTTGACGTCTTTACATGTCAATGGCACACAATGAGTTAATTGTGAAGCGCTTTGGGTTCCTGGTCTGTGAAAGGCTCTATATAAATAAACTTTACTCTGTGTCCAAAGAATGACATATTACAAGATAAAGTCAAATGTTTAGTGGTGCACAGAAATAATCCTGAATCCCAAAATAACCAGAAGTCACTCATTACCTTTCAAGGACCACAGACCTGATCCAAAATGAAGATGGCAAAACTATGTGTGATGAGTTTGACGGGATTGGGTGGATTTGGGATATTGTATACAGATTTAAAGATGTCACTCCAGAATGAATGGATTGTTTCACGGCGAGCTATGGTAGCATTGCAGATATAGCATTTTTTATTCTGTCAAAATGGCTGCTCCAGATGGTGTGACTCCATGCGGGGAGTCCTAACAAATGTAAATAATGAATTCTAGAAACAAATGCATACATTTATCCCAACAGAACACATGGAAGTGGCGCAAATATTTAACACTTTTTAACATATTCAAAATGTCAGCCAACAGAAAAAATACACGGTGGTGAAGAACATGTGTGTCTTAGCGTCTTGTGATGATATGTTGACTGTCCCATTTTTGTATCACATGTCATAATCAATTTTAATAACCTGAAATTAGATACATTATTTCAGATAATTGTGAAGAGGAAAAAAAATCATGATTTGCAATTTGCTGGTGGTCCAATTTTTCGGTCCAAAAGCTGTCTCACTAATTACAATTTCGTAGATTTTTGCTAAAACTTCAGGTCCTGAATTCATTGACATTGCTTTGGAATTCTGCCTGGAAAGTTACTGACAGCTAAAAAGCATAGATCAGTAGCTAATTACTTTGCAACCAACAAGGGAAAAAAGAAAAGAAAACAAAATTGGACAGGAGAGCCACTTTTGTTTGTCTTTTAATTACTATGTAGATTGGATTTAACTGGTGAATATTGGCTGCTGACCACAATATCTGGCAGCAGTTTGTTTACTATTGTACTACACAAAAGAAGAAAAAGTAACGTGAGTTTGACGTGGTTTAAGTGGGATACTGCATGCATGTGAGTGATTGTAGCTTCCTATTTTCTGTAGCTTCTGTATAAGCAACTGAAACAGTATCTGAGCGACACGCAGATGCTGCTATAGTGACACTTAGGGTGTGTCACTATAGGTCTCAAAGGTTTTCAAAAGCTAACATTTCCTTTATTTTGACTCAAACTGTCTTTAGGCAAGAATCTCTATTATTAAGCCCCCCTGTCTTCTCATGAGACACACAAAGTGTCTATAATATCATACAAGCCTCAAACATGTTCTGCAGTCATTCTTGTGCAGCAGTTCCAAATTGTCGAGTGTCTTTGAAGCCTTTACCACACAGACCTCAGAGACTTACACACAGTTTTCTCACCCTTCAAAGTGAACTTTATACATCATTAAAACATCCCTCAACACATCAAAAGCATCTATTCTTACAGGTGAAGCTCCATCACAAACGCTACAGTATCTTAATGCTGGGCTTCTCTGCGAGTGTTCAAATGCCAACACAAAACAGGTCGTGTTTGAAAAGCATGCGCTGTCACAAACACAAAGACTTACATTCACTCCAAATGTCAGAGCTCATAATAAGGAACAACATATACCAGTGGATATACGACTAAAGGCTGTGTGAACAGGGCAGAACTTGGAAATGCAAGAGATTGTAAATACTGCAGACTAAACATATAGTTATCACAAATGAGTAACAATACAGATTCTTTTCTGCATGGGACATTCACACGAAAGTCGCTGCTGCTATTTTTATCTTTTCTTGATAACAATAGTATGAAATATAGTGGTAAATGTTGCTCTCAAATGTACAATAGTGTCTACCAACACAAAATTAACAATTCTGGAAAAAACAAAGGAAAAAACAAAGTAAAATCCATTGTCCATCCATACAGTATATTGTAGCGACCCTGCATTTATGTTATGTTAATGCTGTTATTTCATGTTATTCTTCACGGTTTAGTGCACTTACAGGATTGGTTCTGAGGATGGAGGGGCGGGCCTACTGGGGGGGTTAGAGAAGATTGTTTTGATAACGCGGTCTTTTTACCCGGGACTGCGAACGGGCTGTTGTTCTGCTAAGTTGTGGACTTGTATTGGCGTGGTTACGGCCGACAGTAACCATCTTGTATTAAAGCAGCAAGTAGAACACTGTCTCATTCATTACCTCGAGCCAGGACGTTACACTGGTGTCAGAAGTAAAAAGCCCGAGTTCGTCTCCGAAGCCCGGTGATCGCTCCTAGCTTGTGTCGGGGTCTGCTCGTCCGCCCGTTTGATATGTCGATGCCATCGGGGAAGTCCGGTGCTCGCCCGAAAATCAAGAAGGAGGTGATGGACAGTGACTTTGAGACCCAGTCCCGGAGGCACGATATGGAACAAAGTCGACGTTCTGAGCACTCTGCTCATATAAGACGGGTAGCCGCGGAGATGGCAGCGGAGGCGGGTTTCAGCGGCGGGAGCGCCAGAGGACAAGCCCCGCCCGCCATGATTGACAGGTCACCAAATTCAGACGAAAATGGCGGCAGGGAACGACTGCAAGTTAAGACTCCGAAATATTCAGGGAAAGCAGACTGGGAGGCCTTCTATGCCCAATTTGAACTGTTGGCTGGGGCAGCTGGCTGGTCTGTAAAAGTAAAAGCACTCCAGCTGGCTCTGTGCCTTACTGATGATGCCCTGTCATGCTTATTGCTGTTAAGCCCAGCTGAGAGAGATGATTATGGGGCTTTGGTTGGGGCCCTCCGGAGGCGTTTTGGACAATGTAGCCAACCCGATGTCCTGCGCTCAGAGCTGGCTAGCCGACAGAGGTTGACAGGCGAGCCACTCAGGGGGTTGGCTAACGATATTGAGACCCTGACAAGACGAGCTTACGCCCATATGCCCCCTGAAGTACAGAGTGAGCTGGCCAGGGACCAGTTCATTCGTGCCCTGGCTCCCAGAGAACTTCGCGCACAGACACAGCTGGCACATCCTAGATCCCTGCAGGAGGCACTGGAGCTCGCCCTAGAGAGAGAGGCCGTAGGTTCAGCGTCTGAGAGTGGCCCCATTGTGAGGACAGCAGTGCGGGAGGACCCAGGTCAGGAGAGGCCTGCCTGGGTTGCTGAGCTGACAGAACTGATCCGAGCTGTGACGTTACAACCACAACGCGGCGGTGCCCGCCCGCGCCGTGGCCCTCCAGTGTGCTGGACGTGTGGCCAGGCAGGCCATATCAGTGTGCGGTGCCCCCAGAACTCGGGCGGTCAGGGAAACGCTCCGGGGTCTGTGTAAAAGGGACCACACAGGCCCCCGCCCCTGTGTCCCACCCTATCGTTTCACATGTGTACGGGGCCCAACGACGCAGTCGGGGGAGCGGGGCTCCACTCCCCCCAGAAGCAGATGACAGCGACATCGAATCTTCGAGGGTGGTGGGCTGGACGCACTTTGGGAATTTTTGTCATGTTCCTGTTACTTTGAACAGGGCCCCATGCACAGCCCTGGTTGACACGGGTTCTACCGCAACACTAATGAGACCCGACATGGTGCCACCTGGGACATTACTAGAACCTACTGTTGTAAAGTTGCGGACTGTGACTGGTGAACTCGCTCCTATGCTTGGTCGGGGATTAGTGACTATACAAGTGGGGGAAATGTCTGTGGATTTTAGGGTGTGGGTCGCTGCAGTGAAGGACCCCTGTATTTTGGGTCTTGACTTTTTGAGGGCCGCTCACTGTGTGCTCGATCTTGGCAGTAACACTGTGACATTTCCGGGAAGCCCCTCAGTTGAAATGGTGCCCCCTGAACATGTCCAAAGTCAAGCAGCGTCTAAAGCAGCAGAGGTGCACCAGAAATACGTGCCACTACCCCAGTTTTCTGCTCCAGTACCCACCAACCCGCAACATGCAATGGCAGCTCTACCTCCTGCACTGGAACAGTTACCTGCAGTAAGAGAAATGGACAGGGTCGTGGCCGTAAAAGAGATTTGGGAACGTAACTGCACCACTTTGGAAACCAGTCAGCGGGAAGCTTTATGGCAAGTGCTACTGCAGTACAAAGACATCTTTGCCCTTTCTGAAGAGGAGGTGGGTCTAACACACTTGGTGCAGCACGAAATAGACACTGGAGATGCGCACCCGATCAAAACGCGCCCCCGCCGACTCCCTCTGGCGCATCAAGCGGCTGCTGATAGCGCAATTGACGAAATGCTCGCGGCTGGTATTATCGAGCCGTCAGATAGTCCCTGGGCTTCGGGGGTTGTGATGGTTAACAAGAAAAATAATCAAAAAATGCGGTTTTGTGTGGACTATCGACCGCTGAATAGCATAACAAAGAAAGACTCATACCCGCTACCACGTATTGATGAGTCCTTGGACATGGTATCTGGCTCTTCCTGGTTCTCATCATTAGACCTGCGCAGTGGATACTGGCAGGTCCCCCTGAGCCCCGATGCAAGACCCAAGACCGCTTTTTGCACCGGCAGGGGATTGTGGCAGTTTAGGGTCCTCCCCTTCGGGCTATGCAATGCCCCGGCCACTTTTGAAAGGTTGATGGAAAAAGTGCTAGCTGCTGTCCCCCGTCAGGAATGTCTCGTTTACTTGGACGACATTCTGGTCCATGGCGGCTCTTTTGAGAGGGCTTTGGATTCTCTCCGGCAGGTGCTGCAAGGTATCGCGGAGGCCGGGCTGAAACTCCACCCCAACAAATGCTGCTTCATGAGAAGGGAATTGGAGTTTTTAGGGCACAAGGTTGGTGGAGAAGGCATCAGCACTCTGGAGGAAAAGGTACAGGTTGTCAGGGACTGGCCAATCCCCACTAACCTCAGAGAACTGAAGAGTTTCATTGGACTAGCATCATATTACAGGCGATTTGTGCGCGGTTTCTCTTGCATCGCCGCACCCCTGTTTGCCCTACAGCGGAAAAATTGTGACTTTGTGTGGACCCCAGAGTGCGACCGGGCCTTTTGCACTTTGAAAAAGGCACTGACGGAGTCTCCCATCTTAACCCCCCCAGATACCAATCTGCCATTTGTCATGGACACAGACGCCAGCGATGCGGGGATGGGTGCAGTGTTGAGCCAGGTGGGATCACACGGGGAGAAAGTAGTGGCATACTTTAGCAAAACTTTCAACAAGGCTGAGCGGCGTTATTGCGTGACGCGGAGAGAGTTGCTTGCTATTGTGAGAGCGATAGGGCATTTCCGGTACTATCTCTGTGGCCTCCCCTTTACTGTGAGAACAGATCACTCAGCACTCCAATGGTTAATGTCCTTTAAAGAACCAGAGGGGCAGATTGCCCGCTGGTTGGAAGAACTTGCGCCATATAATTTCAAAGTGGAGTACAGGGCTGGGAGTCGCCATGCCAACGCGGATGCCATGTCCAGACGTCCATGTGCTCTGGATGGCTGCCGCTATTGTGAAAAACGAGAGGCCAAGGAACAGGAGCTCTGTGTTGAGGAGCAGGCGGGTCCCTTGTGCAGCGGGGAAGGGCCAATCTGTGAAGTGGCGGAGCTCCATGATCCACTGGAGTGGAGGGCTCAGCAGGAACTGGATCCCGATCTGCAACCTGTGCTGCAGTGGGTTGAATCGGGACAGAGACCACAGTGGAGTGAGGTAGCTGGGTTTTCGCTGGCCACCAAAGGACTGTTTGAAAAGTTTACAACCCTCCGTATAAAAGACAGAGTACTTCAAAGAGCGTGGAAAGAGCCAGCTACAGGGGAGGAAAGGTGGCAAACTGTAGTCCCCAGAGCACTCAGAGACCCAGTTCTGAAGGCTTGTCACGGAACTCCTGGGGCGGGACACTTTGGAGTCTCAAAAACTCTCAGACGGCTCAGGCAAGGGTTTTACTGGGGCCAGCTCAGGAGGGATGTAGAGGACTTTTGTCGTCGTTGCGACCTGTGCGCTGCTTATAAGGGCCCTCCAGGTCAATCCCGTGCCGAGCTTCAGCAGTTGGCCGTGGGGGCCCCTATGGAAAGAGTGGCTGTGGACATAATGGGTCCGTTTCCCCGGTCAGACCAGGGGAATCGTTATGTACTCGCTGCCATGGACTATTTCACTAAATGGCCAGAGGCATTTGCCATCCCGGATCAGGAAGCGGTGACGGTGGCAGACACCCTGGTGGAGGGAATGTTTTCCAGGTTTGGGGCACCCGAAGTTATCCACAGCGACCAGGGGAGAAACTTTGAGTCTGCCGTTTTCTCTGCAATGTGTCAGCGTATGGGAGCGCAAAAGACACGTACTACCCCACTACACCCTCAGAGTGATGGGCTAGTCGAGCGTTTCAACAGAACACTCGCAAAACAACTGGCGATCATCACTGCAGAACACCAGCGGGATTGGGATATGCACCTCCCCCTTGTCCTGCTTGCCTACAGGTCTTCGGTTCAGGAGTCCACAGCATGCACACCTGCTCTTCTCATGTTGGGGCGAGAGCTGCGGACACCCAGAGAAATGTGCTTTGGCAGACCCCCACACACTCCTGCTGTCCCACCAGGACCGGAATACGCTCGGAGGCTACAGGACCGGATGGAGACAGCTCATGCGTTTGCCCGTGACCAGCTGCAAAAGGCTGGGATCCGGCAGAAAAGAAACTACGACATGAGGGCCAAAGGAAGAGACTTTAACCCTGAGGACCTCGTGTGGGTGTTCAGCCCTAAGAGAAAAAAAGGGAGGTGCCCTAAGCTGGACTGTCACTGGGTGGGGCCCTGTAGGGTACTTGAGAAGCTTGGGGAGGTGGTGTATAGGGTGCAGCTCCCACCTAGGGGTAGACGGGTGGCCCTTCACAGAGATAGGTTAGCCCCATACATGGGTGACGCACATCCCCAGTCACGCCCTGTATCCACTCAGAGAGACAAAACAGTCGGACCCCAGACATTGACTGTTTCCCCATCAACTGACACACAGATGCCCCCTGCTCCGAAGCATGTTGTTCCCAGGTTAGCAGTCACCCCAAAGAGACCCCGTAGGGAGATAAGGGCCCCCAGTCACCTTAGAGACTTTCTATGTGATCCCTCGGGGCGAGGGACTTAGTGGGGAGGGGGCAGTGTAGCGACCCTGCATTTATGTTATGTTAATGCTGTTATTTCATGTTATTCTTCACGGTTTAGTGCACTTACAGGATTGGTTCTGAGGATGGAGGGGCGGGCCTACTGGGGGGGTTAGAGAAGATTGTTTTGATAACGCGGTCTTTTTACCCGGGACTGCGAACGGGCTGTTGTTCTGCTAAGTTGTGGACTTGTATTGGCGTGGTTACGGCCGACAGTAACCATCTTGTATTAAAGCAGCAAGTAGAACACTGTCTCATTCATTACCTCGAGCCAGGACGTTACACTGGTGTCAGAAGTAAAAAGCCCGAGTTCGTCTCCGAAGCCCGGTGATCGCTCCTAGCTTGTGTCGGGGTCTGCTCGTCCGCCCGTTTGATATGTCGATGCCATCGGGGAAGTCCGGTGCTCGCCCGAAAATCAAGAAGGAGGTGATGGACAGTGACTTTGAGACCCAGTCCCGGAGGCACGATATGGAACAAAGTCGACGTTCTGAGCACTCTGCTCATATAAGACGGGTAGCCGCGGAGATGGCAGCGGAGGCGGGTTTCAGCGGCGGGAGCGCCAGAGGACAAGCCCCGCCCGCCATGATTGACAGGTCACCAAATTCAGACGAAAATGGCGGCAGGGAACGACTGCAAGTTAAGACTCCGAAATATTCAGGGAAAGCAGACTGGGAGGCCTTCTATGCCCAATTTGAACTGTTGGCTGGGGCAGCTGGCTGGTCTGTAAAAGTAAAAGCACTCCAGCTGGCTCTGTGCCTTACTGATGATGCCCTGTCATGCTTATTGCTGTTAAGCCCAGCTGAGAGAGATGATTATGGGGCTTTGGTTGGGGCCCTCCGGAGGCGTTTTGGACAATGTAGCCAACCCGATGTCCTGCGCTCAGAGCTGGCTAGCCGACAGAGGTTGACAGGCGAGCCACTCAGGGGGTTGGCTAACGATATTGAGACCCTGACAAGACGAGCTTACGCCCATATGCCCCCTGAAGTACAGAGTGAGCTGGCCAGGGACCAGTTCATTCGTGCCCTGGCTCCCAGAGAACTTCGCGCACAGACACAGCTGGCACATCCTAGATCCCTGCAGGAGGCACTGGAGCTCGCCCTAGAGAGAGAGGCCGTAGGTTCAGCGTCTGAGAGTGGCCCCATTGTGAGGACAGCAGTGCGGGAGGACCCAGGTCAGGAGAGGCCTGCCTGGGTTGCTGAGCTGACAGAACTGATCCGAGCTGTGACGTTACAACCACAACGCGGCGGTGCCCGCCCGCGCCGTGGCCCTCCAGTGTGCTGGACGTGTGGCCAGGCAGGCCATATCAGTGTGCGGTGCCCCCAGAACTCGGGCGGTCAGGGAAACGCTCCGGGGTCTGTGTAAAAGGGACCACACAGGCCCCCGCCCCTGTGTCCCACCCTATCGTTTCACATGTGTACGGGGCCCAACGACGCAGTCGGGGGAGCGGGGCTCCACTCCCCCCAGAAGCAGATGACAGCGACATCGAATCTTCGAGGGTGGTGGGCTGGACGCACTTTGGGAATTTTTGTCATGTTCCTGTTACTTTGAACAGGGCCCCATGCACAGCCCTGGTTGACACGGGTTCTACCGCAACACTAATGAGACCCGACATGGTGCCACCTGGGACATTACTAGAACCTACTGTTGTAAAGTTGCGGACTGTGACTGGTGAACTCGCTCCTATGCTTGGTCGGGGATTAGTGACTATACAAGTGGGGGAAATGTCTGTGGATTTTAGGGTGTGGGTCGCTGCAGTGAAGGACCCCTGTATTTTGGGTCTTGACTTTTTGAGGGCCGCTCACTGTGTGCTCGATCTTGGCAGTAACACTGTGACATTTCCGGGAAGCCCCTCAGTTGAAATGGTGCCCCCTGAACATGTCCAAAGTCAAGCAGCGTCTAAAGCAGCAGAGGTGCACCAGAAATACGTGCCACTACCCCAGTTTTCTGCTCCAGTACCCACCAACCCGCAACATGCAATGGCAGCTCTACCTCCTGCACTGGAACAGTTACCTGCAGTAAGAGAAATGGACAGGGTCGTGGCCGTAAAAGAGATTTGGGAACGTAACTGCACCACTTTGGAAACCAGTCAGCGGGAAGCTTTATGGCAAGTGCTACTGCAGTACAAAGACATCTTTGCCCTTTCTGAAGAGGAGGTGGGTCTAACACACTTGGTGCAGCACGAAATAGACACTGGAGATGCGCACCCGATCAAAACGCGCCCCCGCCGACTCCCTCTGGCGCATCAAGCGGCTGCTGATAGCGCAATTGACGAAATGCTCGCGGCTGGTATTATCGAGCCGTCAGATAGTCCCTGGGCTTCGGGGGTTGTGATGGTTAACAAGAAAAATAATCAAAAAATGCGGTTTTGTGTGGACTATCGACCGCTGAATAGCATAACAAAGAAAGACTCATACCCGCTACCACGTATTGATGAGTCCTTGGACATGGTATCTGGCTCTTCCTGGTTCTCATCATTAGACCTGCGCAGTGGATACTGGCAGGTCCCCCTGAGCCCCGATGCAAGACCCAAGACCGCTTTTTGCACCGGCAGGGGATTGTGGCAGTTTAGGGTCCTCCCCTTCGGGCTATGCAATGCCCCGGCCACTTTTGAAAGGTTGATGGAAAAAGTGCTAGCTGCTGTCCCCCGTCAGGAATGTCTCGTTTACTTGGACGACATTCTGGTCCATGGCGGCTCTTTTGAGAGGGCTTTGGATTCTCTCCGGCAGGTGCTGCAAGGTATCGCGGAGGCCGGGCTGAAACTCCACCCCAACAAATTGCTGCTTCATGAGAAGGGAATTGGAGTTTTTAGGGCACAAGGTTGGTGGAGAAGGCATCAGCACTCTGGAGGAAAAGGTACAGGTTGTCAGGGACTGGCCAATCCCCACTAACCTCAGAGAACTGAAGAGTTTCATTGGACTAGCATCATATTACAGGCGATTCGTGCGCGGTTTCTCTTGCATCGCCGCACCCCTGTTTGCCCTACAGCGGAAAAATTGTGACTTTGTGTGGACCCCAGAGTGCGACCGGGCCTTTTGCACTTTGAAAAAGGCACTGACGGAGTCTCCCATCTTAACCCCCCCAGATACCAATCTGCCATTTGTCATGGACACAGACGCCAGCGATGCGGGGATGGGTGCAGTGTTGAGCCAGGTGGGATCACACGGGGAGAAAGTAGTGGCATACTTTAGCAAAACTTTCAACAAGGCTGAGCGGCGTTATTGCGTGACGCGGAGAGAGTTGCTTGCTATTGTGAGAGCGATAGGGCATTTCCGGTACTATCTCTGTGGCCTCCCCTTTACTGTGAGAACAGATCACTCAGCACTCCAATGGTTAATGTCCTTTAAAGAACCAGAGGGGCAGATTGCCCGCTGGTTGGAAGAACTTGCGCCATATAATTTCAAAGTGGAGTACAGGGCTGGGAGTCGCCATGCCAACGCGGATGCCATGTCCAGACGTCCATGTGCTCTGGATGGCTGCCGCTATTGTGAAAAACGAGAGGCCAAGGAACAGGAGCTCTGTGTTGAGGAGCAGGCGGGTCCCTTGTGCAGCGGGGAAGGGCCAATCTGTGAAGTGGCGGAGCTCCATGATCCACTGGAGTGGAGGGCTCAGCAGGAACTGGATCCCGATCTGCAACCTGTGCTGCAGTGGGTTGAATCGGGACAGAGACCACAGTGGAGTGAGGTAGCTGGGTTTTCGCTGGCCACCAAAGGACTGTTTGAAAAGTTTACAACCCTCCGTATAAAAGACAGAGTACTTCAAAGAGCGTGGAAAGAGCCAGCTACAGGGGAGGAAAGGTGGCAAACTGTAGTCCCCAGAGCACTCAGAGACCCAGTTCTGAAGGCTTGTCACGGAACTCCTGGGGCGGGACACTTTGGAGTCTCAAAAACTCTCAGACGGCTCAGGCAAGGGTTTTACTGGGGCCAGCTCAGGAGGGATGTAGAGGACTTTTGTCGTCGTTGCGACCTGTGCGCTGCTTATAAGGGCCCTCCAGGTCAATCCCGTGCCGAGCTTCAGCAGTTGGCCGTGGGGGCCCCTATGGAAAGAGTGGCTGTGGACATAATGGGTCCGTTTCCCCGGTCAGACCAGGGGAATCGTTATGTACTCGCTGCCATGGACTATTTCACTAAATGGCCAGAGGCATTTGCCATCCCGGATCAGGAAGCGGTGACGGTGGCAGACACCCTGGTGGAGGGAATGTTTTCCAGGTTTGGGGCACCCGAAGTTATCCACAGCGACCAGGGGAGAAACTTTGAGTCTGCCGTTTTCTCTGCAATGTGTCAGCGTATGGGAGCGCAAAAGACACGTACTACCCCACTACACCCTCAGAGTGATGGGCTAGTCGAGCGTTTCAACAGAACACTCGCAAAACAACTGGCGATCATCACTGCAGAACACCAGCGGGATTGGGATATGCACCTCCCCCTTGTCCTGCTTGCCTACAGGTCTTCGGTTCAGGAGTCCACAGCATGCACACCTGCTCTTCTCATGTTGGGGCGAGAGCTGCGGACACCCAGAGAAATGTGCTTTGGCAGACCCCCACACACTCCTGCTGTCCCACCAGGACCGGAATACGCTCGGAGGCTACAGGACCGGATGGAGACAGCTCATGCGTTTGCCCGTGACCAGCTGCAAAAGGCTGGGATCCGGCAGAAAAGAAACTACGACATGAGGGCCAAAGGAAAAGACTTTAACCCTGAGGACCTCGTGTGGGTGTTCAGCCCTAAGAGAAAAAAAGGGAGGTGCCCTAAGCTGGACTGTCACTGGGTGGGGCCCTGTAGGGTACTTGAGAAGCTTGGGGAGGTGGTGTATAGGGTGCAGCTCCCACCTAGGGGTAGACGGGTGGCCCTTCACAGAGATAGGTTAGCCCCATACATGGGTGACGCACATCCCCAGTCACGCCCTGTATCCACTCAGAGAGACAAAACAGTCGGACCCCAGACATTGACTGTTTCCCCATCAACTGACACACAGATGCCCCCTGCTCCGAAGCATGTTGTTCCCAGGTTAGCAGTCACCCCAAAGAGACCCCGTAGGGAGATAAGGGCCCCCAGTCACCTTAGAGACTTTCTATGTGATCCCTCGGGGCGAGGGACTTAGTGGGGAGGGGGCAGTGTAGCGACCCTGCATTTATGTTATGTTAATGCTGTTATTTCATGTTATTCTTCACGGTTTAGTGCACTTACAGGATTGGTTCTGAGGATGGAGGGGCGGGCCTACTGGGGGGGTTAGAGAAGATTGTTTTGATAACGCGGTCTTTTTACCCGGGACTGCGAACGGGCTGTTGTTCTGCTAAGTTGTGGACTTGTATTGGCGTGGTTACGGCCGACAGTAACCATCTTGTATTAAAGCAGCAAGTAGAACACTGTCTCATTCATTACCTCGAGCCAGGACGTTACAATATGTTCTTACACTTTACACATTGCTGGGTTGCAGGGGCAGCAGTCTAAAGGTGCATTCAGACCAAAAGCTTCAAAACGTTTTTGATGCGCGTCAACTTATTATTTTTTTTGTCATTTTGGTGCGTGAAGCTTGACGCGAGTGACACGCCTGACGCCGGTGGGAGGAGCTTCTCTGTTGCCGGTAATCAAGACAACAGTGGATTTTCCAGAGAGCAGCAGCCTTTATTTGTTATATAAAGCCAAACAACGTTGTCCTTCTACAAAACATGTTCTGGGTTCACCACAGACTTGAGAGGCTGCATTATCTAAAATCCCAATATGAGAAAAACATGAGTATGTCATGTGAGCAGTGGGTCCAGGTGCACTGTGGGATGTCTGCCTATTTTCTGCACTTAATCGATCACGTGAAGTCGATGGAGCTTGACTGGGAGTCAGCGAGCCACATACTGATATAGACCATAGGTATGATACTGTAATACATCTATGTAGTCCATTATCAGGCAATGGCTCCAAGATCTCCCCAGAGTCGAACAGGCCTTCGGAGACACCACGCTCCCAGGAAGTCCTTATTTCGCTCACATATGTGCATAGAGTGACTCCCGAGGGTGCTGGGCTAGGGTTCTCTCGAGGTTAGCTAATTTGGCCCACTGGTGCCAACTCCACCACTTCCACGCTTTAACCGCCCACTTTCTTGTCTCCCCAAACTTCTACACCAGCACTCACAAATCTGTTCCAATGAATTCATAAAAGGTCATGCAACTTCCATTGCATATAGGGGAGTGACTAATGCAGAAGCAACCTTTTGGCCTCTGTTCCAGAAAGAATGAAAGAAAAACCCATGCATGGAGAATGGGGGAAAATGATATGAACTACAATACTGGTACAGTGAGTCTCAAATGTATTTTTCATGTTGGGTAATTTTGTGCTGGTCTTGAGTGTGATAAGGAAAGGATCTCAGAAATCCTGTTTTCATTTTATTCTATGTTGTTTGGTATTGTAGCCCACAACGTCATGATTATTTGCACATTTAGTGATTTAATTTTCTTGGTAGCTTCATAGATGTCTTTCGAGAACAGATAATTCTGCAGGAGTGACTGCCTGCCTATGTCTGATAGATTAAGCAGTATCATTTTGTTCTTCAAATCATCCATTTCCAGGACACCGTGTACTTTTTTTCTTTTCAACAGACGAGAACATCCCCAGTGCCATTACAAGACATTAAATAAGGCATTACAATAAATAATTAAATAATTATGATTGTTTAAATATATATATAAAATAAATAATATGTTTATGATAGGTGAACCTGAGGTTGGGGAGCAGGACTACACTGTCTTTGAATGTAGCATTCCAATAATAATCTCTCACCTCAGTCTCACAGATTGACATATTGACACCATAGTCGTGGTCCTTACTATTGAAGTTGCTTATGTTCACCAAAAGAATCCTGTAGTTAAAGCTAGGTTCACATTAAGCTTCTCTTTTATTGTGATTTATGACAGTATTAATGGAATTGACAAGAAGTTGGCCGATGTCGCGTTGGTTCTGAAATATGGCCATATCGCAATCCATACTGATCCACGAGGATGATATGAGAAAACGGAGCGGATACAAATGACAAGACGAGTGTGTGTGTGTGTGCGTGTGTGTGCCAGTCTCACTGGAGGATAAAGGGCTTCAGTGCTAGGCCTGCTCACACAGAAAGCCATAGCTCATGAGTGCAGAATACTAATATGCTGCCACAGCCATTCTGTGCACACAGACATGCAGGAGCGTGTTATTCGAACACCTGTACCGGAGGCTTGTGCTAGAATACGTGCTCACATATGCTTGGATCAAGCCAAAGATTATGACCACCTAACTTGTATTAGAAGCAGAAGACATAAATGTTTTGCTAATCACTCATGGAACAAGTAACATTTGGGGTGAGATGCAGGCTCTGTGCTGGCTACAGCTGTGAGTGCATCAGGGCTGAACGGATCACTAGCCTTGAAACGGAGCAGACATTGGTGTCTGGATTTCCAGCTTTGTTGAAGGCACGAAGGGACATTGCAGAGCCCATAGTCTTCCGCTCAAACATGCACAATTTTTTTTAAAGCCAGCCTAGGTATACATTTTCTAGTAATCTCCAGAATTTAGGCAAGGCAAGGCAAGGCAAGTTTATTTATATAGCACAATTCATACACAAGGCAATTCAAAGTGCTGAACAAAACAAGAAAGCATTAAAATCATAAATTATCACAGAACATTAAAAAGAAAGATAAAAATATAAAATCCCTCAGTTGTATGCACAGTTAAACAGAACTGTCTTTAACCTGGTTTTAAACATTGTCAGAGAGGAGGCCTGTCTCACATCTTCAGGAAGACTGTTCCAGATTTTAGCAGCATGAATCTGAAAAGCAGCCTCCCCATGTTTAGTCCTGACTCTGGGCACTAACAGGAGTCCAGTCCCTGTGCTCCTCAGAGTCCGGGCTGGTTCATATGGGACTAACATGTCACTATTATATTTTGGTGCGAGGCTATGGAGAGACTAGTACACAAGCAGAGCTGTTTTAAAGTCTATTCTCTGAGCCACAGGAAGCCAGTGCAGAGACCTGAGAACTGGACTAATGTGGTCGTACTTCCTGGTTCTAGTCAGGACTCGAGCTGCTGCATTTTGAATGTACTGCAGCTGTTTTACAGCCTGTTTGGACAGACCTGTGAGCGGGCCATTGCAGTAGTCTAACCTACTGGAGACAAATGCATGGATAAGAATCTCCAGGTCTGCTTTAGACACTATGTTTTTGATCCTGGCAATGTTTTTTAGATGGTAAAAAGCTGCTGATGTTACTGATTTGATGTGGCTATTAAAATTTAAGTCTGAGTCCAGTATTACCCCTAGATTTCTGACCTTGATTGAAGGTTTTAGGGAGAGAGACTGTAGGTGACAGATGACGCTCTCTCTTTGTTTCTGGGGACCAAAGACAATCATTTCAGTTTTGTCTGCGTTTAGCTGAAGGAAGTTGTTTTGCATCCACTCACTGATCTGTTGGATACAGTCAAGGAGTGAGTCCACTGGTCCATGTTCTCCTGCAGTCAGTGAGACATAGATCTGAGTGTCGTCTGCATAGTTATGATAGGAAACTTTGTTTCTGCGTATTAACTGACCTAACGGCAGCATGTAGAGATTGAACAGAAGAGGTCCCAGGATCGACCCCTGTGGTACTCCACAGGTCAGGGCCATATGATCTGAGACACAGTCTCCAATCTCCACAAAGTACTTCCTGTCTTCCTGAGGGGTTGTGGTATCTTTAAGGTGCATCCTGTGAGGACCACAAGAAAACGTTGGTGTGTATCTATTTGTGGTGTCAAACTTTGGAACCAACTGGAGCTACAATTTAGACAGTGTACAAATATCCATCAATTCAAAGCTAAATACAAGGAAAAGGTTTGGTCACAATACAAGGGTGTATGATCGGAAACGGGTTAGGGTTAGATTAGGTGCTTTATTAATAATAAAATAGTGTATCACACAATAAAATGTAGTGCATTCTAGAAGATAAGGAAATGTTATAACAGGATAGTATATCTTAGAAAAATAAAACAACAGACTAATTCTATATAACCATACTATATAAACTAATAAATGGTATAAATGTAATGATATGAATATAACACGTGGTTTAGTAATTAACACACATCAGTTTTGTTGTCAGCCGTCTCTCTGCCTGTACCATGCACCACACCAGCCTTGACAGCGCACCCTGCAGGACACGTGAGTAATGGCTCTTCAGAACAGAAGACCATATCATTTTAAGGCCTGCCTTATAAATGCATCGACCTCATACTTGACCAGGTCCAGTGGGCAGAGACATCTCAGTGCACCTCGGGATGTGACCTCACAAAAGAACCTGTGTTTTTAATGCATTCAACACAAGCATACACATTACCTATAAGTAATGTAATAATGTAAAAATCATATTGACAAAGTTAAGCCAACAATAAAAACAACATTCAGTGATGGTACATGGCTCTGAAGTATGTTTTGTTTATGTCACTTATTGTGTTGTGCGTTGATTATTGTCTACTGTGTTGTATGTCTATTATTATCATTGATATTATTGGTTATTTTTATAGTATGGTATTAAAATTATATTCTAGTAGATACAAAATTATTTAGCTGATTGATATTGAATCATAATTTCACTATATAATAATATAATATAAAAGTGAGCGATTATTTGACTAGAGCACAATATACATGCATATACATACATATAAACAGATAGATAGATAGATACTTTATTGTTCCATCGTAGGAGAAATTTAAGATAAATGACATAATATGTAGTAGGAAATGTGTATATAAAACTACCGCTAGTTTTGCTTTTGTTATATTTCCCTGTAAATGGCGACAACCATATATTTGAGGACTTAATGGGGGTGGGAGTAAATAAGCTTGTCTTCATCCCACTCCCTTCCAAGCTGTTTATTTATTTTTATTTTTTTTTCCTTTTCTATTGATGTGTTAATATTGTATAGCATCGTAATGTATTTCTTTTTATCTTGTGTTGTATTGTACCGGCTTGGAATAAACTAAACTAAACTATAAGGTAAGACCTAAACCAACTTAGGGCGGTGCCAGCGACTCCAACCCAGTCCTGTAGTCTCTGTAAGAGGATCTCATGGTCGACGGTGTCAAAGGCAGCGCTTAGATCTAACAAGATTAAGATTGAGACTTTGCCTGCGTCAGTGTTCAGCCGGATATCGTTTGTAACCTTGACGAGAGCAGTCTCAGTGCTGTGGTGGGGTCTAAAGCCGGACTGAAACATATCAAATGAGTTGTTGATTATAAGAAATCTAGTAAGCTGTAGGTAGACAACTTTCTCAAGGATTTCCCCATAAATGGCAGATTTGAGATGGGACGATAGTTGTTAAGTACCGTAGCATCGAGACTGCTCTTTTTTAGCAGGGGCCTGATGACTGCAGTTTTCAGGGCCTTTGGGAATATTCCAGAATGAAGGGACATGTTTACTATCTGTGTGAGTGAAGGTAACAGACTGCTCAGAACAGACTTCAGAAATCTAGTGGGTAGTACATCCAAGCTGCATGTGGAGGAGCTCAAACTGGAGATTATCTCTTGGACAGTTTTATCATTTACAGGTGCAAAGTGAGTTAGCTCAGAGAGCCTTTCTGGCTGTTGGATGGTTATCTGTGGATTGGAGACAATGGCGTTTTTGATGCCTTGAACCTTGTCATTGAAAAAATTAGCAAACTCATTGCATTTACGTTTGGAAGTAAGCTCTAATGGCATTTGAACAGGGGGGTTTGTTAATCTGTTAACTGTTGAAAACAGAACACGCAGATTGTTGCTGCAGCCTTCAATCATTTCAGAAAAATACCTTTCTCTCGTACTACGTAGCACCCGGTTAAACTCGCACAACTTATCTTTGAAGATCTCGTAATCAACCTGGAGGTTGGACTTGCGCCACTTCCGCTCGGCCCTCCGGCACTTTCTCTTTTTTCTCTTTCACAGGGGCAACGGTATCCAGAACATTCAAAACACTAGAGGTGACAGAGTTAAACAGTTCATCTACAGTAGAATACGATGC